ACACTGCTGAGGGGAGCAGCGGGCGGGTCAGGAGAGGTCTGCCACGCCCTGTGGTCACCTCCAGGGCAGGTGGGGATCGAACTCATGTGAAAGTGGCTTTTAGCTTCTCAGTGCAGTGCTTTAACCTCCTGCGCCACCAGGGAGGGCCCAATATCCTCTGCAGTGTGTTTGAGTGAATCTGCCTGTTCTGCTCCCCACTTGGTCTCACCAAATAAACCAAAGAGTTTATTTCTTGCATACATAAGAGTCCCATGTGGCTTGCTAGAGGCTCACTGCTCTCGGGTGCTCAGATCTCCATGCTGTTTCCCACAGGGGGCTCCCCAGGTACTACTGAATGGAAGAGAAATCATAGAGAGGGCACAGTACTGATTCTCGTGACAGACATGCTCCTCTCAAGACATGGGGGTCAGGACTGATCACGTGACTGTCCTTATACACAAGTGGACTAGGAAGGGGGTCTGTCCAGGAACCCAGGAAAGAGAGCAAGCCCACACACGGATACTTATACTTTCATACACGGATACTTATACTTTAGTCTCTCCCACACACTGTTTTATAGCAATAGTTGCAATTACTTATAGAAACAACCCTGTTTACTACTTGAAGGTGTTTCTGAGGTCAAATTTATCTTGAAATTCAGCCACTTTTCTAGCACATACGAGGTAACAGATATTTTCAAACATAGGATCACTTCTAATTTTAAAAAGGACCCTGTAAATCTCAGCAGGGAGGGCTGGCCTTTGTGACTCAGTGGTACTTTCCTATGCTGCCTTTGCTGCAACCTGTATGATCTGTTGACTGAGAATATTTTCCTGCCTTTTGGGACAAGATGAAAGTCAGTTACTGGACACTTGACTAAACATGTCTGAACAGCTAAACAGGTGCCACTAAAGCACACTGAAAAAAAAAAAAAAAAAACAACCCAGCATTTTCCCTGGGGCAGGTAAAGATAAAAACATCAGTTGTGGGTTGGTGAATTATAATTTTTTTATTCAAAGCTAGAATGTCTGCTAAGAAACAATTTAATACCTACAAGAATGACTTCAAGGTGGGTTTTAGGAAAAAAGCCTCATTGGATGTTTGTTTATAGATAGGTTCTTGACCACTTACTTAAGTTCGCTCATGAGTGCATGGAGTGGGTAGGCATTGAAATCCTACTGCCAATGTCACAGTCATTTCCAAAATAGCTCTACAGCCTCAGGATCGTCAGCTAAGGCCCAGCAGATTCCTGGTCGGATCAGTCTACCTATCAGCTGATTTGGCAAAAAAAAGTGGAGGCACCCGGGGGTGTCTATACTTCATCTTCTGAAGGGATCAGATATGTGAAAATGGCCACTGCTCAGGGCAGGAGGAGCCAGGGCGAATAGGGCCCCCAGACTCCCCAAATTGTGTCAGCACCCACTTTCACCTTCTTTAGGCCTGCTTTTAGCACTGTGGCACAGGGTCCCTCTTACTGCCTGAGTAGTGAGGAGAAGTGAAATGAATTAAGAGACACAAGGTCTGTTTCAGGCAAGGAGGAGGGAATTCAGACCAGGCTGGACTTCCAGTTCTATCACTGTCCCATGTGTGTGAACTTGGGGATACTGCACATTCTCCAGCTGCCAACCCTGTCTTGTGGAACTGTTAGAAGATATGCAATCCATGGAAAGTGCCCGGCACCATGGTTGGAGATCACCGAGTCTGTAACGAATGCCAGTTTTTATTATACCTATTTTCATATCAGAAGAAGCTGCCCTCATCTTTGGGCATGTTTTCTTTGTCTTAGCCAAATGTCAAACAATGTAGTACTCTGGGACAAAGAAAACACAATCAGCCAAAATACTATTAGCAAGAGCACTAAGAAAAAATTCCTCATGAGAGAATATGATACTTAATATGGAAAGAGGAATGTCACCGAGATTCAACTCAAAGCTTGTAGAATCTGTCAAGGACCAATACCTGCCTCTCTCCTGCCCTCCCAACAGAAACACCTTTATTTTCATTTCACCATCACCAAAATCTAGCCCCGCTTTGGAGTTTTGCCAAATGATACTCAAGATAACTAGTATATGGAGAGGACTGCTCAGGGCAGAGTAGCAGTGTTGTGGATGGGTGGCAGAACACCCAAGGGCCCTTCACAGCTAGCTCTCAGAAACTCCCTGGAGATAATATGCATACAACACCTGCTGTGCACTGGGGCAATAGCCCGGGACCCCTTCTGTCCCTTCCCCAGATGCTGATCCCCTCTGGCTCACTCCCAATCACAACGTAGCAGGGCATTTTCTCACTCCAGAAGTCTCTAGACTCTGGGGGTTCTGGCCCCTGCTTTTAGTTACCAGGCCTCATCTAGCTATCACACAGGTCATTTAACATGACCTCCCCCAGAGGGGCTTGCATTTCCAAACCCCAAGGTGTCCAAATGGTACCTCAGTACTTTCGTCTGCACACCCCCACCCCACTGCTACCATCTGCACAACATTTTTTTTCAGCTTAACATTTTAACTTGTCTTTTTACATGCCAGAGATCATCACACCACCTTCCTCATGTAATCACTGCTCAGACTCCAAAAATCTATGGCAGGTCTAGGGTCTTCTTTGTCTTGCCATCATCACCACTGACACTGAAACTTCCAAAGAGCAGAGGCGCAATTAATGATGGATAAATGAGACCCTGCGCAAGGAACGGCACTTTTTTTTTTTTTTTTGCTATTTCATATACTATTTAATTCTTGATTATGTTAAGGACAATCAGATCTTTGACTTCTACAAAGACAAGCAAATAAGGCAAACAAAGATTTGATGGTGTTTTACTATATTTTAAACCTACAGCTCCATTTTTATGTGGCTCTGTCACATTTCTTAAGAAAAGTCTTCTTTCCAACGCTATGTTATCCTATTCTAGAGATCACAAAAGATTCAAGGATCTTCAAATTGTATTACACAATAACAAAATGCTGACTCTTAAACCTAACAAACAGCAATAACAGTGTGACTGGTGTTGTTTTAGGAACTTGGATTCTGACTCTAAGTAAACATTCTATTAAAATAAACAACATTTGAGAGCTCTTAATATATAAAACAAACACAATCAGGATACCTATTATGCTATTTCCGGCTCTACCTTAGCCACAAGTTACTGTGGGTGGACCCCTCATCTGTTCAGCCCTCTCCTAGACGCTGGACCACCCATTGCCATTGCCTTTGGTAGCAGCTGCTGGCTGGCTACAACTTTGGCTTCAAATTGCTCTTCCTCATCTCTCAAAGCCTCTTCATAATGGGGTGAGAAGGTTCTAGGAAAGGTACCGTTGACTTTGGACAAAAAATCCAGAATCTTCATCTTGTTGGTTTCAGCTTGAGCTCTTGGACCCCACAGGAACTCATAGCGTGGAGGGTTACTGCCACGTATCCGCCGATACTTCAGGTACCGCTCCTGCACCAGATCTTGGGTGATGAGCTTCCTGGGCTCTCCAAAGATCAAATGCCTTTGCCCATCATAGACCCCCAAAATATTCAGGAAATCCCAGATCTCTTCCTCAGAGGCGCAGTTGCCATTCAAGTAGATCACACCCAGGAGAGGCATCAGAAGGCCGCTTTTCGGAAGCCCCCAGCTACCTTTGAATTTCTCATAGTTGGTGAAGTCCAGCTTATGGACCAGGGCATAGATGTGACCACCCGGCTTGACTTCCTTCAATTCCAGCCCAAACACCAGCTCCATGTTCTCCGAGGCTCTCCTGAGGATCTCGGGGTAGTGCTGCTTGTATTTCTTGTTGACCAACTTCAGCATACTTGCCTTCAAAATGAGCTCCTTCGCTTTATACTTCTCCAGCAGGAACTGTATCAGCAACCCTACCTTCCTGGTGAGAGGATCTTTGCGGGTGCTCTGACTGGAGGCTGCTGCCCAGGAGCTGCTGGAGGTGCTGCCACTCGCCTTCTCATGGCCTGTGGCACCTTCCCAGAACCTCGGGACTGAGACCCCTGCATAGATAAGGCTTGCCGCCTGGGCCTGTTCAAGCCCCTGGGGAGGGCCCAGAGCAGGGTAGCTGTAGGGAGTAGTCTCGGGCTCAGGAGGTGGGGAGGCGGGGGAGGAGGCTGGCTCCTCCCAGTCTGCTGCCTGGACCTGGGCCTGGGCGCCCCTCGGACTCTGGGTCTCCTCCCGGGCCTGGTGACGTTTCTCCCGGGCCCGGAGCTTGCTCTTCTGACCGCGAGGCATGAGGACGCTGGTCAGGGACAGGTGTGGCACCAGTGTGGGCAGCAAAGTAGGTGGTGGCGCACCTGGAGGAGGGAGAATGAAAGGGTGTGAGCACACCAGCACGGAGAGGCCTCCTTGGGTTTTCAGAAACCCTGTAGGTTTCTGTGAGGGGCCTGTTCTGGGTCATCCTGTATATGAGAACCCTGTGGAAGAAATTAGACTGACAGAGGGGCCTATGTCCTCTGTCACCTTAAATCTCCACGCCCCTCTCTTCCAGTTTGTGGAATTATAAGTAATAAAACTGAATTTGAGTGGCCTTTTAATACAAAGGCCCCTTTCCAGCCTCCAAAGAGTATCACCCTCACTTCTCAGAAACTCCCTAGAGATGAGGTATGCGAAATAACTCATTTGAGCATGGTGCTTCCCTACTCTTGGATGGAGCACAGGACATATTTCATCCCTGACCCAGATGGAAATTTTTGTCTCATTTACTTACATTGCCAAAGGAACTTTTAGGGGAAGTTTTTGTTGTTGTTGTTGTTCCAGCCTTAAGCCTCTCAACTCTGAGACAGCCCCCACCCCCGCCACCAGGAAAGGATCTGGCTGCTGTTCAGGGTTTCTGCAGCCTCATTTAGCCTACCACACGGGCTAACTTAAAAGTACCCAAAGCCTCCAAATGCCTTATCAGGATATTTACACTAGCCTCCTCATCTGGAACCTTCCTCCCTCCTTCACCCTTATTTTTGACTGGTCCTTTAGATCTTAGGAAGTATCCCACCACCTATTTTATAGGAGAGTTGCTCTTAGTCTCTCAAATTTTATAGGCAGGTATGCTGAATCTATTTTTCTTAATATTCCCAGTATTAGCCAGGAGACTCCCAAAGAGCAGATGTTAAATTAATATTTGCACAATGAAAGAGCAAGCTTGCAAGTCAAATTTATTATGATTTAATTTCTGCTACATTCTTGACTAAGCTAAACTCACACACATACCTATACTTCAATTTTATAAGGAAAGACTAAAAGAAATAAAACTAACCAAGAATTGACTAGTTTTTACTTTCTTTTTCTGTGTTTTGTGATCACAGACTTACTTTGGAGTAATTTCCTTTTTCATGAAAATGCATATACTAAGTGTCATTTTATATCTTGTTCTGAACGGCAAGAAATGATTCAAAGTTTTTCAATTTGTTTTACATAATTTTCATTTTCAACCTGATGAGCTCCAATAAATGTGCACATCATGGCCTTCATAAACTTAGATTTTAAATAAAGCTAAACAAACTTCTAATTGAAAGGAACATCATTTAAAATTAGAAAAAAAGAGGGCCCTCCCTGGTGGCGCAGCGGGTTAAAGCACAGCACTAAGAAGCTAAAGCCACTTCCACATGAGTTCGATTCCCGCCTGCCCCGGAGGTGACCACATGGCGCGGCAGACCTCTCCTGACCCGCCCGCTGCTCCCCTCAGCAGTGTACTTCGTAGATCTGCCTGTTCTGCTCCCCACTCTGTCTCTGGTGAATCCTCTCACCCTCTGCATTTCTGGACTGTACCCCAGTTCTGTATTAATAAATAAATAAGTCTTAAAAAATCTTTAAAAAAATTAGAAAAAAGAAAAGGTCTATCTTCACTTTATCCATATTGTGCAGGATCACAAATACGTTCTACCCTGTGATCCCATGAGCCCCATCTTGGCCCTCCACTGGTTAGAAGATTGACAGCTTTCTTTAACCACAAAGTGAAGAATCTGCCTCAGACCTGGGAGTCAGGGTGAGGGTGGTGGGAGGAATTTCAAATACATGCCCTGGACGATGTTGGCCATAGCAGTCGTGCCAGTCCTGATTTCTCAAACCTCCTAATGAAAGGGAAAGTACTGAGCATGGCAACATTGACCTCATCCCAAAGCTCACACATTTATACATATATATTTGGCTCAAGGACTAACTTTCCTCCCAGCTGCTCTTATGTCTAAACTACCCTTATCTTCATTCATTTAATCTCTTTTTTTTTCTTTTTCTTTCTCTCCCTACCCCTCCACCCCATCTCCAGAATGCACCCCATATTGTTTCGCAAAGATCATCCCCATTCTTTTTAAAAAGCTATATAGTACAATACTCCATTATGTGGATACACCATGAACTTTCAATCAATATATTAGTGGACACTAATGTATTTTCATATTGCTATGAGAGTCTCTTCAGGGTAAGTTTCTTAAAAAGTGGTATTCCTGAGTCAAGGGTTAATGCCTATTTAGTTTTGTTATACATTGTCAAGTTCTATAAGGTAATGTTTTGAGATTTTTTGCAACCATTTCCTTAAATAGTATTGGAATTAAGTATTCTTAAATAATGTAATAATAAATTAAGTAATTTGGTGCTAGCTTTATCAGGTTTAAATATTTATGTTATGCTTCATAAAAAAGCATTTGGAACTTTTGTTTCATTTTCCTTGCTCTGGAATAATGCATGAGACAAAATTCACACATTTGCACTTGTAGAGAGAGTAATCAACACTCCATGTACTCATTTCTCAGCTTCAGCAATATTAACACATGGCCAGTCTTATTTCATCTATACCCAACCCACTCTCAGATTATTTTGAAGCAAACATCTATAACAATACTTATCACGTGTCTTTATAAGGTAAACCTCTTCATTACTAACATAATCACAATATCACAGGCATATTGCTGTAGGCAGAAATCAAAGATGTTCTCCCAGACTCCTGGCCCCTGGATACACACATCTTCTCCCAATTAACTAATCAAACACCAACCTAGGTGCTGCTATGAAGGCATTTTTTACAGTTGTAATTAAGGTCCCAAATCAGTTGTTCTCACGATTATCCTCCATGGATCAGACCTAACCATATGAGCCCTTAAGTGGGACCGGGATTTTCCTTGGCAATATCCAAAGAGTGAGAGGTTCTCTACAGCTGACTTTGAAGATGGAAGTGTCTCCATAGCAAGGACCTAAGCGTGACCTGAGAGTGACGTCTCAGCTACAGCTAGCTGGGGAAGGGGCACCACAGTCCTTCAACTTCAAGGAACTAAATTCTGCCCAAAACCTGCATGAGATTGCAAGGAGTTTCTGAACTCCAGATGATAACGCAGCTGGCTGCCACCTTCATTGCAGCTTTGAGAGATTTATTACCTAGGAATCCAGCTACTCCCTGCCCAGACTTCAGACTGCCAAAACTCGGAGATAATGTGTTGGGTGTTTGAAGCTATTAAATTTATAGTAATTTGTTATACAACAATAGAAAATGGAAAGATTTTTAGCTATAGTTTCAATTTCTTTCTCTTTTGATTAGATCTTTTAAGATCTATTCTTTAGCAACTTTCAAGTATTATTCACTATAGTCACTATGCCATACAGTACAGACCAAGGAGTGATTTATAACTGGAAGTTTGTACCTTTTGACTATCCTTATCATTCTGCCCATGCTCCAGCTTTCACCCAGCTCCCACCCCATCCCTGGCCACCACCAAACTGTTCCCTGTATCTATGAATTCAGATTTTTAAAAGGGATTTACCCTTGGTTTATAAACTCTGTACATTTCAAGAGTACAGCTTTACAACTTGCCAAATGTTTACACCACATCACACCCAGCAGGAAAGGTGTAGTCACCATTCACTGGCATCCAATTAACCCCCTGCACCTATTACATCCACCCAGCCCCACCCCCTTTGGTAAGCCCCACTCTGTTGTCAGAACCAAAGGGGTTGTTGCTTGTTTCATTTTATCCATTTGCTTTCTTTATATTCCACATATGAGAGAAATTGTGGTATTTGTCTTTCTCTGTGTAATTAATTGCACTTAGCACATACCCGCAAGATTCAAGCATTTTATCACAAATGGCATGATTTCCTCTTTTTAAAAATGATTGTCTAGTATTCCACTGTGTATAGGCATCCCATCTTCTTTCCCTACTCATATATCTGTGGGTACTTAAGTCACATCCGTATTTTAGCTATTGTGACAATTAGTGTTTTCATGTTCTTTGGATAAATATCCAGAAGTAGAATTGTTGGAGATCATATGGTAGTTCTATTTTTAACTTTTTGAGGAATCTTCATACTGTTTTCCACAGTGACTATACCAATTTACATCCCTACCAAGTGTACAAGGGTTCCTTTTTACCCCACATCATCACCAAAATTGTTTCTGATGTTTTTGACAATAGTCATTCTAGCAGCTGTAAGGTGAAATCTCACTGTGGTTTTGATTTGCATTTCCCTAAGAAGAAGTGATAAAGTATATATTTTTCATGTACCTGCTGGCCTGCTATATGTCTTCTTTGGTGAAATGTCTAGATTCTCTATCCATTTTTTAAAATTGAGTTGTGTTTTGTTCCTTTGTTATTATATTTTACAAGTTGTTAATATATTTTGGATATTAACCCATTGTCTGGTATATGGTTTGTAAATATGTTCATGCATTCAATAGATTGCATTTTCATTTTCACAGTGCATTCCTTGACTGGAAAGACACTTTTAGTTTGATGTAGTCTTGTTTATTTTTGCTTTTGTTTCCCTTGCCATTGGGGACTCAGATCCCCAAGGACATTGGGGGACAATGGCTAAAGTCACTCTATGGGGGTGGTTTTGTTTTCAGTTTCCACATTAAAGAACATATAGTACTTGTCTTTGTCTGATCTACATCACTTAGCACAATGCCCCAAAGTTCCACCCATATTGTTGCAAATGGTAGATTTTCCTTTTTAGGGCTGAACAACATTCCATTGGATGTGTTAATAAATAGTAGATATTTATATACTGTGTAGATATTCTTATATGTGGATTATTATATATAACATGTATTATATATAACATGGTGTATATATATATCACATATATACATTCATGTGTGTGTATAAATGGAGAAATAAATTCCAGTATTGCTCTATATAAATTCCTGTTCATATTTTTAAAAACCTGCACATAGATGTTTAAAGCAGTCTTATTCATAATTGCTAAAACTTGAAAGGAGCCAAGGTAGCCTTTAACAGGTAAGTGGATAAATAAACCATGGTATGCCTAGACAATGGACTATTGTTTAGTACTGAAGAGAAATGAGCTGTCAAACCATGAAGGCTTTGAGGAAACATAAATGTGTATTATTAAATAAAAACAAGCCAGTCTTATATACTGTCAGATTCTAACTATATGACATTCTGAAAAAGGCAAAATATAGTAAGAGTAAAAACAAATAACAATGGTTACCAGGGGTAAGGAGGAGGGAAGGGTGAATAGGTAGAGCATAGGATTTTTAGGGCAGTGAAACTGCTCTGTGTGATACCATAAGGATGAATACAAGTCATTATACATTTGTCAGAGGTGAAGAACACAGAACACCAAGAATAGAGCCCACTCTAAACTTTGGGCTTAGTATATCTAATGCTGTGTCACTGGTGCCACAAACTGTAGCAAATGCACCATCCTGGTGGGGACTACTCAGAGTGGGCTGGCTGCTGTGGGGGAAGAAGGTATTTGAGAACATGCTGTACTTGATGCTCAACCATGCCATGCATCTAAAACACCTCTAAAATTAGTTTGTGAAAGAAGCAGTGCTGGGAATAAAGAACAAAGCATAACAACCATCTAAACAAAACAAGAGTCCTGGACTCTGACAACAGAATGGGGCTTACCTGAAAGTAAGGATTGGGAGGATCCTGTAGAGGGAGAGGTGAAGGGGTACTATAATTTTGGAGTGGGTATGGCAGTTGCAATGCTGGTTTCCTGAAACTTCTGTAATATTGTGAGCCAGTGGTACAGCAGGAGGGGGGATAAAAAGCACCCCCTGCCCTGGGAATCTCAGGCTTGAGCGGAGAGAAACTCTTTTACTGTCTATTCGGTGTGTTGTCCTCTCAGTCCTCCCTCAGTTTCCTGGATTTGACTCCTGGAGGGGCCTGAAACACCCCTTTCTTGATCCGAGGACATTTCCTCACAGAAAGGCTTGCTTCCCTGGGATCCCATAGGAAGCGGAGAGTGGCCCTAGTTGTCTACACCTGCTGGTGATCTCCTCAGACAGACAGCTGGGGCAGGCAGGCTGAGGCCCTCTGATGGTGATGCTAGTTAGAGGTTCTAACTCAGTACCCTGAGTCCTATAATGTCCTGAGTTTCTTCCACGGTTGCCCCATGACCCCCACTCAGATCAAGCACCTCACTTCTCTGTTCCTCCTGAGAAAGCTGTGAGGCCATTGCTGTCTGGGATTTATGCACCATCTCATGAGAACACAGAGGACTGTGTGAGGCTCCCCTGGTATGGGTTGGTGGTCCTTGAACTCTTTAGGGTACTCACCTTTCTCCTCGCGCACCTGGGAAATCCTACGCTACTGACCTGAGTCCAGCACCCTCTATCCAATGTTGCCACCTTCCTGACCTAAGAGGAAATCAGGTTTATCCACTTTCTGTCAAGGCTATTCAGATTCTGAAGGCTGACAACAGAGTCAGAATCTGTGGATCTCTGTTCTGGATGGGCGCTTTCTTTATTCTTCATTCAAATTCCTCACCCTTCATCAGTGTCACAGGCTGGGACTCCTCCCCCTACTGACCTAAAGTCATCTTCCTATAGCAGGACTCACAGGTCCCTGAGAACCTGAAGAATATACGATGAGGTTCCCAGGTTGACAGCTTTGCCTAGTATATTGCTCTCTCCTGTCCTCCTTGAAGGGTCTTCATCCTGATTCCTGTCACTCGACTAAAGGCACCTCAGAAAGGCTCCATCTTGGCCAACTCTTGCCCACTTTTCCTTATTGCAAACCCTTCAGAGGATGATCCCCACCCCAGAAATAATGTTAGATGGGGAGGCTGTCAACACAAGGTTGAGGCCCCAAGACAGACATGCTGGCAAAGAAAAAAAAAAAAGATGTTAATTATACCTTCTCTTTACCAGTCAGATTTAGCCTTTTTGTTTGAGGAGATTTAACATTCTTCAGGGAAGGGGCTATTTCCAGAATGACCTTGTTTGAGATTATCTGACTTCAGAGAGGTGCATTTTGGAGTCTTAGATGAAATGTGAATTTTGGACCCCAAAGTGTGCCTCAAGCTGAGGGGAAATGTGTGGACTTCATACTCATTTAGGCCAGGGGCCTACATCCAGCCCTGTCACTTAGTAATCAGGCGAAATTTGGTAAAATTTGGACCAAACTCCTTGAGACTCAGGTTCACACCTGTAAAATGGCTTTGAAAAGCTGTGTCTTGGGGCCACTGGAATCTAATTTAAGTAAAGCACTGACTCAGTGCCTCGCCTGTACTGAGACTGGAAGGAAGCCTTTCCCTACTGGGATTAATTTATTCTTCACTGGAGCCTAAACCCACAATACTGAGATTTAACGTTTAATCCAGGATCTGTCAGAGACTATGCAGCACTCCAGGACAAAGAAAACCCCACTAAAAAAATGCTGCTTAGCAATGAAAACTAGTATTTCCCCACTAGAGTATGCCATCCCATGTCAGAGGGAGGTTGCCTTCCTCACCGGTTGTTAACCCAAAGCCCCAAAATGTTTGAAGGACAACTTACCTCCCGCTCAGCTGCTCTTCCTTCTAACCCACTCCTGTTTTCATTCATTTAACCATTCATTTAGTCCCCGCCTAGTTTGCCAAATGATATGAAAAATAACGTCATGGACATGATATGTTTATGGGCAGATCTCTGGTTCCCCCAATGCAGGACGAAGCGTGCCAGGCCAGTGCTTTCTGGATATTTCGCCTCAAGAGAACATCACCCATATTTCTCAGAAACTCCCTGGAGGTGATATGATTAAAACATCTGATTTGCAAACTGTGTTCACCTGCCTGGGGGTGAGCACATACGGTTCAGTTCCATTCCTGCCCCAAGGGGATTCATTCTCTCTGATTTGCCCACATCCCAAAGTTAACTGTTCAAGCAGTTTTCCATTCCAGGTTTAGTCTTTTGAGTCTGGGGCCTACATCTGAGGGTCTGGCTTCCACTCATGAATTAATCACACCACATAACTCATTTAAATCACCTCCCACCTACTCAGAAAAATATGAACTCTTGTGACAACATGGATCTTGGAGAGTCATGATAAGCAAAATAAGTTAGGAGAAAGACAAATGTCATTCATTTGTGGAATATGTGTGTGTGTGTTATATAAAGCAAAAGAACAAAACAAAACCAGACAGATGGGAAGGAGACAGGCAGAGGGCAGAGGGGCCAGACTGATTGGTGGTAGATCATGACTGGACATTTGGTGGTGGGTGTGGTGAGAAATACGCAGTTACTGAGGTAAGAAACAGCACACCTCAAACCTATACAATGTTGTTGACTAATGTTACCGCAGCTTAAAAATACTTTCCAGGCTCTCCCTGGTGGCGCAACGGGTTAGGACATAGCACTGCAAGCTGGCCGCAGCCGCTTCAGTACGAATTCGATCCTCAGCCCTGGAGGTGACCCACATGGCGCAGCAGACCTCTCCTGGCCCACCGCCCGGTGCTCCCCTCAGCAGTGTACCTTGTCGATCTGCCAGTTCTGCCCCCTGCTCTGTCTCTGGTGAATCCTCTCGCCAACCCTGCACCTCTGGCTTATACCCCAGTTCTGTATGCATAAATAAATAAATCTAAAAAAAAAATACTTCCCACTGAGAGACTTGCTGCTTCCTGAAGCCCAACGCTGCCTTGCTTTAGGACATCAGCCCACTGCTCTCAGCATAACTCTCTCCTTTCTTAACCTGTCTTTTCCTTTGTCCTTTCAGTCTGAGAGAACATACCACCATTTTCCTTACACAACAGCTGCTTATCACCTCAATAAAATGTTTTCTCAACTCTTCCACTTCTAGCATGGAACCTTCTACACGCAGCTGCTCAATTAACTTTTGGGAAATAAATGAGCCCATGAGCATAGAGTTTAATTTATTATGACTGAATTCTATATTCCTGAGCGTGTCAAGTATATGTATCCTTTATAATCTCATAAAACTCAGAGTATACGAAATTGGGAGAAATTCCATATATTTTTATTGCTAACATTTTTTCAAGTTTTCAAGGAAATGCATATTCCAACATCATGTTAACTTGTATGTACTCTGCTTTCTTGTATCTCCAAATAGGATGAAAAATATCAAACTTCTTATTCTTAACCAGGATACCTGTGACATATATAATTAATAAACAGATTACAGAGCAAAATAAATTTCCTTTTAAAACTACCAGCATTTGAAAAATAGAAAAAAAAATGCTGCTATATTTCCAAATTAACCATGCAGAACAGGAACACAAAGGTATTCTATGTGCTGTTCCTTCAGTCACACTCAGCCCTGAACTTCTTGGCATGATGACTGCTCTCTTTATCCACAAAGGGAAAGGTCTGGGTCACCTTCACTAGGTATGAATGTGGCCTTGGGACATTCACTGGCCACGACATCCTCGTTGGTCTTGAGGGAGACTGCGGCTTCCTCTCTCATTTTCTCCTCTTTCAATGCTTCTTCATACCAATACTGGAAGGAAGTAGGGACTGTATGATTAATCTTGGCCAGGAACTCTAGGATCTTCATCTTGCTTGTTTCGGCATGGGCCCTTGGGCCCCACAGAAACTCATAGCGAGCTGGATTAGTGTCGGGCACCTGGCGGTATTCCAGGTACTTAAGCTTCACCAAATCTTGGGTGATGAGCTTCTTCGGCTCTCCATGGATGAAGTGCCTCTTCCCGGCATATATTTTCATCTTATTCAGGAATTCCCAAACCTCTTCCTCAGTGGCACAGTTGCCCTTCATGAAGATCAGCCCCAGCACACTCATCAGGAGACCGGTCTTGGGGAAGCCCCTGCTGCTATTCAACATTCCGTTGTTGGGGAGATCCATTTTGCTGACAAGGATATAAGAATGCTTGGTAGAATCTACTTCCTTTAAGTCAACACCAAAGACAACCTCCATGTTGAAAGACGCTCTTTTGAGGATCTCAGTGAAGTGTTTTTTGTACTTTTTATTGACAATCTTCAGCATATCTACCTTGGTAATAGGCTTCTTCATTTTGTACTTATGTATCAGGAAGTGCACCAACATGCCTGCAACTTTGGTTAGAGACTCATCCTGAGACTGCACAGTGGAGAGTGGAGACTGAGAGGGATTTTGCTTTTTCTCATTTCTACACTTGATGCCTTTCTGTGATCTTGTGTGAGAAACTGCATCAGAACTAGTGGTGAGGGCTTGCTTAGGCCCCTTGAGACTGCCTTCTGGCTTAGCATCAGACTTTCTCTTAGTAGTAATAGCAGCAGATGAGGAGGGGCACACATTCCCCTTAACTGCAGTGGCCTTAGCACTCCTCTGACCCTGTTGCTCATTTCGGGCCTGCTGGCGTTTCGTACTGGCACTGAGCTTACTTTTCTGACTCCGAGGCATGGTAAATGTGGCCAGGCAGCAGAAGACCTGGGCATGAGAAAAGAGAGGATGTGACAGTGAGGGCACCTTCAGCAGGGGGCTGGCACCCTGGCTTTAAGAAGGTCACCTCTGTCCACATGGCATGGAAGACCTCTCCTGAACCCGCCCGCTGCTCCCCTCAGCAGTGTACTTCGTCCATTTGCCTGTTCTGCTCCCCACTCTGTCTCTGGTAAAGACTCTCACTGACCCTGTACCTCTGGCTTGTACCCCAGTTCTGTATGAATAAATAAATAAATCTTTTTTTTTTTTAAGGTCACCTCTGCAGGTTTCCTCTAGGGCAATGTTCTAGGAACCTTACCCTCTGAGTACTTTGTGGAAATAAAGTGAGACAGGCCTCAGGCCACTAGGCCTGCCTGGTGGTTGCTGGGGCTTGGAGCAGTGGCAGGCAGGTCTAGTCTCTGGAGCACAGAGGTTCGCTCAGTTCACCCTGAAGACCATCTAATCAACCTTCGGCAGGCCTGGGCCCCGACCTCTGTGCACTCTACCGTCACATTGAAAAGCCAGGTCTGTATCACTGGATACCTTAAGGGGGAGTGAAGGGAACCTGTCACCCCTGCCAGGAGGCAAACCACTGCTGACAGCCCTGTAGGACTCTGTCCTAGGTTTGTTGGGGTCTTTGCCTCAGGCCCAGCTACAGCCTGGGATACCTCAACTAATCTGATGTCACTCAGCTCAAACAAAGGCCTTCACCATGATGCCTACAAAAGAAAGGAGGGTTCCCGTACACTTAACCTCCACAACTGGGCTCCTCAGTGCCGTAAGCAAAAAGGGGGCACTCTGTTGCCTTCCCTTTTGGGGATATGGGTAGAATAATCATTGTTATTATTTTTTTTCTTTTTAAAATTTTCTTACATCATTGTTCATTTTTGTGTAATTTTGATTTCTCCACTCAGGTATAATCCCATAAACCTCCATCACCACCTCACTCATGAACTATCATCATAGTCCCTTGTGCTGTTCCCTCCCCTGTTTTGACCCCTCCCTCACCCTCCCCTGCTCCTGTTTCAGATCTATAATTCACCTGCTAGTTTTTCCTTTTTTTCTTCTGACCCTCTGGAAAAACCATTCTTTTCTCAGTGTCCTTATTCTGACTCCTGTGAAGCCATGGGTCTCCTCTCTCTGGAGACCCGAGTCCACTCAATTAGTCCAACACCCTCATCTCTCTGGAACCGTCTAACAAAAACTAGAAGGGCACTTGAGCCTGACAGTTATTCTGGGTTGTCCCAAGACTAAGAGAAGGATCAGAATGTCGGAATGTATGTGACTCCATTTTTTTAGAGCCAGCATCCCCCTAGTCCTCACCAGGTCTTTGACTTTAATTTTGGGTAGGACATAGGATTCCGCCCTCCAATAACCTGGGTAGTTACAGCCTCAGAGCAGAGCCTTCAATTTCTTCTGTCCCTGGAGAGGGGAGTCAGGTTCATTTATTCATGACCATCCCTGCCTGCTGCCTTCCAGCAGTAAGTGTAGCAGCAGTACTTGGTGCCCACACCTCTAATTGGGGAGAGATTCTCTTATTAGCACAGGAGGCTCTCACCTCCACCGCAGTTAGGGCTTAAGTGTCTGTCCTCTCTTAGACCAAGAACAGAGGTCACCACCTTGGGCCAAGCCCCGCCCCTGTAACGTGCCAGGCAGAATCCAGCCTTCCACGGTGGCCAATAGCAGGGAGAACTAGTAGATGCCCCTGCATTACGGGCTGGGTGGTCCCTTCAATCTCCACCCAAGGTCCTCAGTTCGATTCTAGATCAGTTCTGGGAACGTCCCTTCGTGCACCAGAGGCGTCCGACCCCTTTCTCCTCCCTCAGATCAAAGCCCTCTTCCCTTCCTGCCCTCTGAAATCAAAGCCAGGATGATCCACAGCCACCTCTGGCCATGCTACTCAGGGGGCGGCTGCTTTGGAAATGGTTTTCTTTGAGTCCCCAATAAGGGTCCTCATCCTCATCAGGGCCCAGGACTCCTCCCTGTACCGAACTGAGTCCACCAGTCTCCAAAGCCCCGATCTCCTCGAGCTTCCAGAGGGAGAAGTTACCACAGCTATTTAACTCAACTCCTGACTGGAACCTCGCAGACCGTGGGAAGGGTGTGTGGCTTTGAGTTGCCTCTATTGGGGTCACCGCGTGAGGACTGGGACAATTTACGGCAGCTATTAAACCCAACTCCTGACTGGAACCTCCCCGTCTGTGGGAAGGGGGCGTGGCTTTGCGTTGCCATGTACTGGGGTCACTGCGTGAGGACTGGGACCACCGTCTGCCTCTCGTTAGGACCTAGGTTTCCTTGATCTGCAGAATCCAGGGCTACTCCCTGAGATCGAGACCCTTTTCCCTTAGACTATATATTCACTGCACAGCGATGGCTCTGACAGGGTCTTCTACTGCCCATCACAGGGGCGGGGCTGTGTTACCAAGTGCGGTTCGGGTAAGGGGGGCCGGGGGGAGGGGATCGCGATGGGGGTGGGGCTGAGGGGGGTCTCTTTGACCCACGTTCACCTCTGCAGGTCCTCACCTTGGCTCAGGCAGCTCTTGGAAACCCACCCTGGGCAGAACAAACACCGAATCAATGATCCACCATGCGAAATGCCAACCTCAGAATCGGAAGTCTGAGTACATCACATCCGGTCACTGCTACGTGGGGTCGCTTAGCACTGACGGCAGGAGCAGGGTTCTGCGGTCCCTCGGTCGACATTCAGTGTCCTCATCTTGGCATCTAGACCGACCCAGATCCCCCCTTCTGTTGAAATGAGTCTTGAATCCACCAGCCACGCCTGCCACGCTCCCCCGTCCCCCCCCACAGGCACCCCAAATACCTTCCTTAGTCCCCTAAGAGGGAAGTCAGCGGCACTGTTTCTGCCTACCTCTGCCTGTCAAAGCCAGACGAGGGCTCACCTTGAGCTAGGGCCGAGCAGACTCTCAGAGCAGAACTCCCCGCCCCGCCCCCACCACCCCAGACAAACCCCCTCATGCCCTGAGACCTGCTACGCAGAAATGAGACAGCTTCTCAGCCTGTTCATTCTGTCTGGGACCTCTTGCCGTCAGGAACAGGAACAGGCTCCGTAAAGCTCTCTCATTTTGGTCTAGAGAGCGCCTCTCCTCAGGAACCCCAGCTTGCTGCTGGCCAGGGCGGGATTCCCGCTCAGATTAAGGCCCGCCCCTTCCTGGGAGCTGCTGGCTGATTGACGAGACACTGCTGAGCGCGCAGCGGAGAGACAGGAGGGGTCCGATGCGCCACGTGGGTCACCTCCCTGGCCCGGGATTGAACTGCTGCAATGGCTGCCCATTGCTTCATAGTGCTGTGCTTAACCCCTTGTGCTACCAGGGAGGCCCTACTGTGTATTAATTTCTTTGGTTATGTATTTCAGTTCAGGTTATTTTGGGGGCAGGTGGGGGGTCCTTATTTTTAAAATCTGAAATACATTTTGAAGTGTTCAGGAACACAAGATCTGCTTTAGGCAGAGTGGGGTGGAATGAACAGTGTGGACGCTAGATTTTAATTAGGACTCAGTCCCAGCCCTGTCACTTTACAGAACCCTATAAACTTGAGCACATTCCTAAACTCCAATTTAAAAAAGTGAAGATCAATGCAAACATTGCTTACTAAGAACAATTATGTAATATATCCTCTTCAGAGGATCTCTATCATATATAGAGTGTTTGTGGAAGTATCTTTCCCAGTTTGACAACTCAGGGACCTTGGAACTTTTGTTAAAATCCACTATTTTCCCTAGTCCCAGTATTTTCCCTACTTCAAGCTGCCCTTCCATCTAAATCACCATTATTTTCATTCATTTATCCACCAACAAAATCCTAGTCTTTGCCTAGAATTTACCAAATTAACAAGATAAAACTAATCAAATGCCCTTTTAACAGTGTTCTTTCTGACTCCCCCATCCTGGGGTAGAGGGTGCCAGTCCAGTGAATTCTGGGCAGCCCTTCTGAAGGGAATATAATTTATTTTTCAGAACGTCCATGGTGATGGTGCGCACAGAACGTCCATGGTGATGGTGCGCACAGACCATCTAATTCACATACTGGGTTCAACTGCTCTCAGAAAAGAACACAGGGTACTTTCCAGTCCTACCCCATCCACAATCCCAAAGTAAATGTTAAGGATAATTTTCCATTGCTAACTTAGTTTTTCACTTCCCAGACCACCTGAAGGCTGGTCAGTTCTCTGCCTACTGCTCCCAAAGCCTCAGCCAGCCCACCACACAGCCTCACTTAAAGTGAGCCGGCTCTGAAGGGTCTGCATTTTCCTGAGACTCCAAACTGTCTTGCCTCAAGGCATTTATACCTGACTGCTTTTACCTTGAACCTCCTCTCCTCTTCACCCCTTTTTTAAGATTTATTTATTTATTCATACAGAACTGGGGTACAGGCCAGAGATGCAGAGGGTGAGAGGATTCACCAGAGACAGAGTGGGGAGCAGAACAGGCAGATCTACGAAGTACACTGCTGAGGGGAGCAGCGGGCGGGTCAGGAGAGGTCTGCCACGCCATGTGGTCACCTCCGGAGCAGGCGGGAATCGAACTCATGCGGAAGTGGCTTTAGCTTCTTAGTGCTGTGCTTTAACCTGCTGCACCACCAGGGAGGGCCACACCCTTTGTTTTTACTTATTCTTTGGGTCATAGAGAGCACCTCACCATCATTTTTGTATAAGAGCAGCTTACACACTCTGAAATTCAATGGGCAGGGGATAGGTTTTGGGTTTTTGGTGTTGTTCTGGAATTTTTGTAAAGTTTTCCAAGTATTAGCAATAAATCTTCCAAAGAGTTCATTCTCAATGAATGAATGGGAAACAAATGAGAGTAAACATGAGGTCTAACTCATTAAGATTTAATTTCTCTTACATTCCTGAATAATCTAAGCCAATCTGAGTATGTATAGTTTACTTTTACAAGAAGAAACACTAGAATGAATTTAGGGAAACCAAGAATTGACAATCTTTTTATTTATATCTCTTTTTTC